TTGCCTGTCTCTGCATCCCAGCCCTGATATTCATTGGAGGTCTCCCTTCCATGTACTGTCCAGGGCTGACCGTGCTTAGCTTCCAAGATCTGATGAGATTGGGCTTGCCTGGGCTAACCGGGTCAGGGCACCACATGAGTATTCTTGACAGGCCAGATGCAGCCCAAGGCCCATATATTTGTCACTGCAGCTCTATTCTTTCTATCCGTTATTTATTTATTTATTTAAAGCATTTTATGTGCCACCTTTCCACCTAAATACAGTCCTCAGGGTGATTAATTGGGGAAAATAAAGCTGGCACACTTATTAAGCTCTTTCAGTTGCATGGATGAAAACAGTAGATATGTTGAATATATCTGCACGTTCACAGCACAAGCTCTTGAAACAGAAGACCACAATTCAGAGCACTTATAATAAGACTGACTGAGGGATGATGACTATTTTAAAGGTTATGGTCTTTTTAGTTGACACGAGCCCTTTAAAATCATGATATGTTGTGACTTGTGATCACAGGAATATTCCAACCATCTTTTATTAAACATTATGATAACATGTTAAAACAATCTACTCAATTTTATGAAAACTTGCAAGCGCTCCCAATAATGCTACTTCACACAGCACAAAGTACTAGAACTTTATTTACATCCTTGGGGTAGGGGCCAGAATGATCTGCCCACTGAAATGATCTGTCCATTTTTTTCACCCAGAGTCTTTACTACTATCCCAACTTGCCACGGTGTTCTTAACACTTGCCCAAATACCACATGCTGGGAGGAATGCTTCCTTCCAAATTTGGTTCTAGAAGCAACTGAAGTATGCTCACAAGCACCCATACAGCATGATATAACTAATCCTGTTAGTGATTCGATCTCAAAGCATACAAAATGATCCATGTGCCAGTAATTGCATTTCCAGCCCTCTTATTCAGAGTCCTCTATATTAATATGACAGGCATTTCACATAGAATATAACTCACAATAAAGGAAGATTAAATACTAATCAAAGTAATAATACTAGGCAAGTTTCTGAGGCAGTTTGCGCCTCAAAGTATTTCTTTAATTGCTAATGGCTTGTTTGCTCAGGGTTAGTTTCCCACTAGAGTCCAGAATTTTGTTTTTCATCACCAATCACACTGTTGGCACTAAATAAATGTTAAATATTAGAAAAACACTAAACAAATCCTGCTGTCATCTCAGCTGTAGGTTGTTTTGCTGGGGGTGGAAGAAGAAAGTATTTTTGTATCACAGTGCCTTCTGTCTTCTACTGCGCTTATATACAGGGACCAAAACAGCAACCACCTCCTAAAGTGTCCACTACACTCATTATTGAGAAACAAGAAAAATTACAGATTTACAGTTATTCTCTGCATTCCATTTTGGGCAGCCACTTAGAAATCTAATTTCTGTCTACTTGCTCCCCATCCCCCTCCATTCCTTTGCAATATATGAAATAGTCACAATTTCCTGTTTTAAGCCACATGGACTGTAATTCATGTCCCTTAGTTCTGGGACAATGACTAGATAGGTTCAATGACTGCTCCTTTAAACTGATGCCGCATGTAAGAATATTATTCCAGGAAAACTGCAGCATGGTGAGTGTCATGCATACTAAGTATTTCATTGTACAGATTAACAACATTTTAAAGGTAATGATAATACACTGCTACAAAAAGAAAAAAAGAAAGCATTATTTCAGGGCAGGTATGCTCCAAGTAGCCTAATTAATGTCTTTTGAGAGCAACCTAAGCAAATCTATTCAGAATCCTACTAAGGTTTGTTCAATGGGGCTTACTCCCAGGAAAGTGTTTTTAGGACACTCTTAAGAGCCTCTGATTTGGAGAGGTTTGGTCATCCTACTAAAGTAATAACAGACATAAAACTCTTTAAGGTTATTTATACAGAACACTTTGAACGCTGGATGCTGCTGCAAGTCTAGAAGAACCAACCCCAGAGAGGACATAGCCTGATGAGATTCTAATTTTTTGCAACACTTTCTTTTATGGATCAGCTGCAGCATCCATGCACAGCCCAGGAACCCCTTCATCTGCCATGCAGGGGTATAAGGAACCAGAGCAGACAAAGAGGTGGGGGGGATCTAATTTTAAATTCTTCACAAGGAGCTGTACAGTTTGCTGCATAATCCTGTTAGTAAGAAATTAAGGTAAACTAATAAAGAACACTGGCTTTCATGAGGTAATTTAATCCTCCTCTCAGAGATGTCTGTTTTTAAAAAGCTATATGAGAATGTCTGTCCTAAGGCATATATTTTAACAGTAGTGACATCATCACCGACACTACCTCTTTAAAATGCTACCTGATACCAAACGAAAATATAACCCTACTTTTGCAAAAGTTCAACCAAGTTAATTTTACTAATAATAAATTAGCCTATAATTGTACACAACTGCAAAGCAAGAGTTCATCTCATCTCACTTCTCAACCATGAAACATGTTAACTAATGAACAATCCAACTTCTCACCTGTTTAAGATATTTGAGAGATCATTTATTCCCTCCTTATTCTGAGTTAACATTCTGTCAGATATTCCCTCAGTCCTGTTTGGCTGCTCCAGTATGCTACACTGGAGTGTTAAATCCCAGATTACTTCCGTTCCCAACAACTACTATCCGTCCCAGGAGAACAAACTTTCTGCCCACTTACTACAAGGCATCCATTTATCAATTTCTATGGAACTTTGCTCTACAGAATGCTTCACAGTTCTCATCTGTACTATTCTAGCCTTTAAAGTTGCTCAGAGAAAGAGACTAACAGGGAGAAGGACTAACACTATGATGTCAGGAAATCTGTAGTTGCTTGATGGAGTGTTCTCCCATCAACAGGAAAAGAACTGCTGTGGATGAGCAGGAGCTTGTTTCAGCAGCATATCATAATTATATTTTATGCTCATTGTTGCCCCACCATGAATCTTCAGGAATACTAAATAAGTAAAACCAAAACTGGTCTCCGTCCATCTGTCTTCTTCTTTTCTTCTCTGTAAATTTTTTTCTCTAAATGTAGCCTCAGGGGATAAATGTTACCTGTGTGATACCATATGAGGAAATCTAAAACTGGTTTGCCTAAAATTCCTAATGTGATTAACTGCATCCTTATACCCTTGGTTTGTTGGTCTAGGGGAATAATTTCCACTTAAAGCGCTTGGCTCATGATTCACAGACTGGACAGTCCATTCTTGCTGGGTGAAGAACAGAGGCCTGTAACTTTAAGAATTAGAGGTAAGAGCACAGGACAGTGGCAGAGACCACACTCTTCATAAACAAGATTGCCAGTTCAATCCATAGCATTTGCAGTTATAAGATCTCAGACAACAGGGCAAAATTTTTCTAAGCCCGGCCTAGAACGTTGCTGTCAGTCTGAACAGAGAGTATTAAACTAGATAGATCAACAGTTGCAGTATAAGGCAGTTGCTGTCAATTTTTTAGCTTAAGACTCCACTCTTACTAAGAAGCCTAATTTACAATATTAATTCATATTTTAAAGCCACTTTCCTCCTAGCATCTGTGAAATTAATACAGATGAAAGTATGGGCCTATATATACATATGCACACAAACATCTATAAAGCACACATCAAAGAAGATACTAGAGAGAGCTGCTAGGCAAGAGTTCCCAAATCAGTCTGTGGTTGAACCTAGTCTCCAAATAAGGTGACAAAAGAACTATACAGGCCACAAAATTCTATGTCCAAGAACATGCAACGACCCAAAATAACGAAAGCACAAGAGAAATAACACCAGGTGATTGTCCCTTTCCTATTAGCATCTGTGAAATGAATACAGATGAAAGTATGGGCCTGTATACACACATGCACATAAACATCTATAAAGCACGCATCAAAGAAGATACTAGAGAGAGCTGATGGGCAAGATCCCTCAAACCAGTCTGCAGTTGAACCTAGTCTCCAAATAAGGTGACAAAAGAACTATACTAGCCACAAAATTCTGCATCCAAGAACATGCTGAGCCAAAATAACAAAAGCACAAGAGAAGCACCAGGTGACTGTCCATTTCCTACTCATGGTTCAACTGTATGTAGGAGATCACCTGATTTGCACAACAGTGATAACGCCACGTGCCCCTCCCAAAGTACAGTGCAATCAGTATCCAAGAAAGCAATCAAAAACCCCACTCCAATTCACATGGCACACCTGACTCGTCCTTTTGGGCTACAACAAACCAGCCCCAGCAATTACACAGGACAGAACCCCAGAAGCCACACACCCACTCAGGACCAACACATGTAAAAAATAGTCAATGTTATAATTCAGAACCAAACAGGAACTGAGATTAGGAAATGGAAAGAAAAGCAACAATAAGTGAGGTACAGGTAGATCTGGAGCAGGGCCAAGGATGCAAGAGGGATGGGTCCTGTCCAATGGCGTGTGGGGGTGGGAGAATAGATCCTATGCATCCTAGGTAAGAAAGCAAGAAAAAAAATATTGCCCACTAAAAGGTCCTACAAAATGCAGCAATCTTTACTTAGTTTTAACTATGGATTTTATTACTATTAATTGTTTTTAACTTTTTCCATATTGGTTTCGGAGCTCTTGCTTAGTTTTAGGTTTCTTCTATTTTACCGATATTCAATCAACCTTTTAGGAGACGTCTCTTTTAGATACATAGGGTTAAAATGTTTAATATTTTTCCGGTTTACTAATCTGAGGATATAAACCGCCTCGAGCATTATTTACAACTGAAAGACGGAATATAAATTTAATAAGCGAATACACAAACAATACGAGGAGTAGCACGAAGAACGAGGAGAGATGGCTAATGCATACAGAACGGGGGGAGAAGGAGGTGCAAGTCTAATGGCAGAGGAAGGAACGAACGAGGGACACCTGAGGGAGCTTTCTGCGGAAGAGAAAGGGGCACCCCAGCTGTAAGGGGGGGAGAAAAGCGCTTGGGGGGAGGCGTGACGTGACCCGACCCCATTCCTTCCATCCTTCCTGGGAAACAGCCAAGGCGAGGCCTCCTTCCCTTACCTGCTGCTTCTGGGAGGGAGGTGTCCCGGCTTCTCGGGCCCCGTGCCTCAGGCGGGCAGGCGAGCAAGGAGTCCCGGACACAACTTCGACCCGCTCGTGCTCGTTCGCGCGCTCCCGCTGCCAATCCCACCCCCACTCGTTTTCGCTCTCGCACTGACTGACCGACTCGTTCTCCTGCTCACGCGCACGCGCGCTCCCTCGCCCGCACAGCGGTTAAGGACGCGAGCTCGCCCGCAAGTCGCTCTGTCGGTCCTCAGCTGCCACGCAGGCCTCCCTTTTGGCCCCTCCCTCTCTCTCCCTTCTTCGGGAACGAGCTAGTGAGCGCGCCCGCGCGCGCACAACAGCCCACACTCTCCTAGCTCCACCACTACCGAAACGAAGCTGGCCGATGGCGGGACTCGGGAAAGGGGGCGTGGCCTGGGCGAGGCTCGCGTTGACTACCTTCTCTCGCTAAAACGAGGAGGGGGAGGAATACGGAGGAAGGAGCGCGCAGGGGCCGTTGAAGGGGGCGGGGCGACGGGATTTTTCCCATTTTACCTCAGGCGCACGTTCGGGCAAGTGGTCGCCTTTTTCTTCGAGTGCTTTACAGCTGTAGTGCGCGATGTACGTTTTCCTTTGGAGGCCTAGCCTTAGTTTAACAACGTTGTCGCACGCACACCCCGCCGCCCGTGCTTAATTTATTTATCATCTATTTGGGTTAGTTGTTCGTTGGTTTCTCTGTAAAGTCTCGAAGCTAATTTGTATCTAAATCTTAGATAACCGTAAATAAGAATCAGGGTTTTTTTTAAAAAACAGCGAGATAAGAGATGCAGATTACATCTTTTAAAGCCTGACGTAGGCGGTTAATAATCATGTTAAACTTTCTAAAAGGATGGCACAAAACAGCATGATAAAAATATGATTCAAAACAACTTAACAAAAGGCAGTCTACGGAACCCCACATGTAACAAAACCACTCTAGAGTGAGGAACACGAAAGCAAATTTTACTGGAGACCTGGCAATTTGCAATGAATCCTCTTTTGTCTTTATGTGACAGGAGGAAGTTTAACACATCCAGCAGGACCTTAGCTTCAACATTCATAACTGACTTAGTTCTATAAATCGCATATTCCAATTGTTCTCTTTCTAATTTCAGAAAGACAGTTTTCATACATAGTATCTGGAAGTGAAACCTGTAAAGTTACTGTAAGGACTGAAAGTATTAAACTATTTAAAATGATGCGACCAGGTATCTCAGTTGAGATTCTGTTTGTTTACCACTATGAGAAATGAGTGTGTGATTGCCCAGAATATTCTAGGAGGCAGCCTTCCCACCCTGCAGCCTTTGACCCTTGCTGCTTGCTCTATTATAAGCAGTGGGGGTCGTGAGACATCGCTTATACATGATCCAATATGTTCCTACGCCAGTATTTTGAAATACATCAAAGTAAAGGCGTTGCCTACAGCCTAGAAATGCATAGTTTGTCATCAAAGTAGCATGGCATATACATCTCTTAACTTTCTAAGCATTTTTCAAGATGTTGATGTTCAGAAGATGCTAGCAGACTCAAAAATTGGTTATGGATAATAGTAAGTCAATTTGGGTATTGGATAGGACTTCAGTATATACCAGGAACGTATGTGCTGGAGATTTTGAGTTATTGTTATTTATTTATATTTATGCCTCATATTCCCTGTTAAAAACACTTGAGATCGCTTACAACATCATCTTTAAAACACCAAATACAAATAAGAAGGAGAAATCTAGTCCATAAAACAGAACAATACCTCAAAAAATTGACGGTATTCAAATTTAGGAAAACTAGGAGCCTCGACATAAGTGTAAGATATATGCACATGTCCAGCAATAAATTATAATACATTAGTAAAAATTATGGTAAGAAATGGGAAAATACAGTAAAATGCTTAGAAAACTAGACTTGGTGGTAACTAAATTTAAAGCTTGGTGCCAGATGAACTGCAGTGGGGAGAAAATTCCAAAAGTTGGTGTACCTCAAACAGGCAAAGCCTACTGTTTGGTTGCCACTCATTTACAATACAGGCTGGAGGCATACAGAGTAGAGGCAAGTTCATATGGGAACAGATGCTCTTTCACATGCCAGAAACTTTGGTAGCCAGCATGTTTTTTCAACTGATGTTCTCTATAACTTATGTATAACTGTTATATGCATAACTTATGTATAAATGGTATAACTCTATAACTGTTGTTTTCTATAACTTATGTTCTCTGTAGCTTATGTCAGCCTGCATTTTTGCGGCACCATTCTGAAGTTAAGTTTTTTAACAGTTTTACAGGTATCTCCATATACAGTGTTACATAAAATGTAGGTAAACAAAAACAAACAAGTAAACATACAAATAAATATTAACACATCTTCAGTCAGATACATGCATGGCAGCCCAAAGTAGCCAAGGACAGTTTTGAGAAAGGTGGTTTTGTGCATGCTAGGCCTTGGGTTGAGAAACTTTGTAATGTTCCTTTTTTGTAGTACAAAATCAAATCTATATGTTTTGTACTGTGACTTCCTTCCCAAATTTCTAAGGGAAAAAAGTGCATATTGGAAGAAGAAAAGCAAGAGAATGGTGACTGTCAGTATAAGCTGAGTGTAAATACAAACATAAAGAGAGTGCAGTACTCTGTTTTAAGCAAAATATTTAAATCTAGAAAATTATCTCCAGCTATGGTACCAATTATCACTCTGAAGCGTTGCAGAAAAAGACCAATTCCTTTACATGCTGAATCACTGTGCTCAGCCATAACATTGACAAGTTTGGCTCTTCTGTCTATGGTGAATCAACAACTCAAATTATATGGACATCTTTGTCAAAGGGAAATATATGAATCTGATTTTTCCCCAGTTTTATATTTCTGATTTAATATAAACATCCAGTTTGAAGAGATGGTGATTAAGTTCTGTATTCTTAAGACAGGCACATCTCTGCAGTCACTGAAGCTGAAATTTTTATGAAGATTTTTCAATTCCACCCAATTATTTCCAAAGACCTAAGCTCTTATTGGCTAGCTGAACCCCTAGTAATACAGATTGTGAGTCAGCAAACTCCTGCTTCCTCAAAACTGGCAAGCAGCATTCAGAGAGATCTGTTTATCAGTCATATCCTGTGAAGTGGAGCTCTGAAGTTCTCCTTTTGTAGCTCCTTCTTTCCATGCACATAGAGCAAACACACAGCCAGATTCCCCAGAATGTCTGCCTGTTGCAGGCTCTGTTCTCATATTTCTGTAAGGTCTGAGTCCCAAAGGAAGCATTAATGCTAGAGGAATGTATGGCAGCATGTGACTTGTGTGAAAAGAACTTGAGAGGAAATAAAATTCAAGAAAGCTCCTCAGGATCACTGTGGGAAACAGCTCTGATTAAGATTTGTGGGTCAATTTTGTATTTTTAAATTGACAAAGAATCTCAAAAAGAAGAGTGGAGAAACAAGCTGCAGACTTGTATTCAGAAAGATAAAGCAACCTAGACAGGTCATGTGATCCAGGAAAGAAATCTGGGCCAGCTGCCTGTAGATCTCATCAGGGGAATATGTAACTGATGGCAAACCATATATATATATATTCATATATATTCTCTCTCTCTCTCTCTCTCTCTGTCCCTCCCTCCCTCATCATGGGATCTGGAATAAAAAACTGCTATGTAGTAAAATTGAAATGGGAAAGTATGATGGGGAATAGTCTGGGTTTTTAGAGTTTGCTCAATTGTTCAGAGGAAAGTCTTTGATTCCTTTTAGGCAAGAAAAAATATTGTATTAGGAAGCAGATTTGCAAATTTGCTGGGAGAAATTCATAGGATCCAGAGTAAGCATGAGTCATTGTCCATCTGTCTGTCCATCTGTCCATCTGTCCTCTTACCCACTCCAATTTTGAAACTGCCTGTTGTCATTGGCAGCATCTGGCCAACTCCACTCTGCCCAGGAACATCCTGACTTTAGGACAGCACTCCACTTGACATTTATCTGCTATCTACCAGTAGTGTATATTGGAACTTCCAGTTAACTATTGCCCAGAGGACAGTTTACTTCATACCTGTCTATCACATGGAAGCTATCAGGTGTGTCAGCTAAGCATTACAAAAATGTGTAATTCTTCTCAGAGTTAAGGAGAATGTAAATGGGGTTCCCAGTCATTTTCTATCCAGGCACTTGCCAGCTCCAGATCTGTTAGCTTCACAAAGAAAAGTACACTAGGTACCAAGAGCTGAATAGATAAATCAAAGTGGATCTCCTTGCCACTGCTCAGTTTCTTTGTAAATTGTTAAAAGTAAACTTTGGCTGCGGTCACACGGAGCATTAGGCATGCTAGAGAGGCGGAAGATAGGCGGATTTTCTGGGCGCGATCTCACCGCCACATCTGGGAAGCAAATCCGAGGCTTCCCGCAGAAGATGCGCGGTTAAAAACTAGTACCTCGGAGGTACTAGTTTTCAGTTATCGCGGGGCAAGGGCGGGCGTCTGATCGCGTTTCCGGTGGTAGTTTTGGCACCCGCCCATGCCCCCTCGTATAAAGTTTTTTTTCAACTGTCCATGGGATACGCACAAGCACCCAACGGGGCATGCACACACTTTGGTGTCCAGAGGAAAAAACACCTGTTTGCCGCGCCGCTTCTTTGCCATGGCGCAGGATTGTGGTGTGCTCGGCACCTCCCCCCTACCACGGGACCTCCACAGTACGTCTGCTGGCGCAACCGTGCGTTATTTTGCCCCGGGACAAACAGCCACGCCTCCCCCCCCCCCCCTGCATTTTCCTGCCCATGTGCTCGCGGCCTTTGCATGTCAAGTAGAACTCACAGCCTCTGAGTACAGGGAAAAGTATGTGTGGGAAAGATGACTGCCTGTTTTTAGATTTAAAACATGGACAAATGGAATTCTTTAATATTCTAATAATGATATTTAGCATTTATAGAGAATTTCAAAATCCTTCACATACAGTTATCTTTTAAGATAGGTCAGCTTCCATATCCCCATATTACAGATGGGATACTTAGAGGATGGTGGTTTGCCTAAGGCCACGTGCTGAGTTCATAACAGAAATGAAATTTGAACCAGGGACTTCCTGATTTGTACTTCAGGCTACAAATATATATATAGGATACATACATACCAAGAAATATGTATAGGAGTACCACATACATCTCATAGTCAATATGCAACACCAGTTCTAATTCTATTTATTTTTAAGTATTATTTATATTATTTAAGGGAAAGTATAACTTGCTTTTCAGCAGGCAGGACTCTCAAAGCAATATAAATACAACAAAACAATAAATATGTTAACATAAACAAGAGAGTCAAAAAATTAA